AGCACGTGGAGTTGAATCATTCCTTTGCTTCCCAACTCGATGTGTTCGATCAATTTCGCTTACAGCTACATCGCACTTCAAACAATTTCGGCAGAAATCGACAACAGCGTCGTAGCAATTCTCCCCTTTCTCCTCCGCTATACCATATATTCGAACATTACACCGTCTCGAGTATTGTTCATTATCATTTGCATGAGACTTCACTCGATCCAACTGAAATTCCAATTCAGCTATTTTATTTTTTAGAGGTTGAACGACCTTGTCAATTTCTTTATCGACGACAGACTCGACTTTATCGCACACCACTTCGGAGACGATTGTTTTAGTCGTCAATACAAGCATATCTTGAAAACCTTTTGAACTTAAGAAACTTTGGAATTGCTGTGTAATTGCTTTATTCACTAAGTCTCCAAACGCATCGGACTTAAAATAAGTATCTAAATCTTTACGCGAATGACTTCGAGTATTTACGCGTCCTTCTTCGTCCCCCATCTTTCGGCTCTCGCAACAACTACACGAGCCTTTTTAATGCTTGCTATACAGGGCTGCTACAGGATTAATAAATCAAACCATGATGCCAAACACTCCAAACTTGAGCTTAAAAGAAGAATAGCATCGAAACAAGCAAAAGAAAACCAAAATAATTTTGAAATATTTGTCTTGACCGGGAGCAATTTAAATACGTCTTGCTCCCACGAAGTCAAGTAGTACCCCCATTTGAAGTCTTTCGTTGTTTCGCAGGCCCTATAAGTTCTGGTTTTAAGGAATTCCAAATTGTGGCCATTCTGAATTTGAAAGATCGTTGGCGTTGCCCAGTTGCTGTTCTGTATAAAGGAGTGTCAATCATGCTCGAGTTCCTAGTAACGCGAGATGAAATTTTTAATGTCACCTTGTCTCACAAACTGTTCAGTTAGGTATGCAGGTGCGTTTTCTGTCATGCATTTAAATGCTATGACTGCATCACGAAAATATAAATACTGTCGAAATGGAAGCCACTTCAGTTCTTGCAGGATTGGTATGACATGATCGTATTTGCCAACTCCACTAACTAATCGACAAGCAAAGATCTGCACTACCTGTATCTTATTTAAATTTGTTTGAGAAGTATTGCTCCAGACTGCAGAGCAATAATATAATTTTGAAAAACTAGAGAGTTAATAATAATTGTTAATGTGTGTTTGTCAAAACAATGTTTCACGCGGTTTATTTGACCTAAACGAGACATACATGAGGAGATAGTGGCTTGTACATGGCTGTCGAACGTCAGACCAGAGTCCAAGATTACGCCGAGATCTTTGGCGCTTGTCACAGGAATGATTTCTTTACCGAGAAGTGAGAGGCGAAAATTAGGAAGTTTTGCTCTCATCTGTCTGCTGCCGCATATCATGGCCTTAGTTTTTTCTGGGTTTAACAGTAACTTGTTATCAAAACACCAATTACGTATTCTCAAGAGATCTTGATTTATTTCTGAGACAGCTCTTTGTTGGTGTTGCAGAGAAAACCGGACATTAAAAGTTTTGCGTCATCGACATAGGGAGAGCATTGTTGTGGAACTGATGGCAAATCGTTCACATAAATACTAAACAAAAGTGGCCCAAGTATACTTCCCTGAGGTACTCCACTCGTTACCTCTAAAGGCTCGGATAAGGTTGTTTGTATTCTTACTACTTGATACCTGGATGTTAGGTAGCTTTGGAACCATTGTATCGCCTGACAAGACGTGCCAACATCTTCTAACTTAGTAATCAGAGTCGTGGTATCTATGCTATCGAATGCTTTACTCATGTCAACTTCAGCGTTTTTCCATACGCTCGGAAAACTAGAGGTTAACAGTGAAGCATTGATAATTGAAGTGATGGTAGGTGAAATGATGAAGTGAAGTGATGGTAACTTCGCTAATCGCTAAATTTTCTTCTTTCCGGAATGAGAAAAAATTTGCCAAGTTTGTGCGCACTGCTGAATTCAAGGCAGTCGAATTTCACGTTGAAGATTCGTTTAGAGATTCCAGCAACAAACAGCGAAGAACGCTTCCAAGTCTAGCTGATGGACCGAAACATTGCTTGATAGTCTATTTCTTCTCCTTGAAAATATTCTGAAGCGTTGCATCAAACTAAACTGTACATATAACATACTGGATAGCCTGTGAACGCAAATATACAATTATTTCAATTTAATGACAACAGTTGATTTCTTTAAAAATACTCGCAACTTGCATCCCCCCCTAGTTGTTTCTCACTTTTGGAAGAATTACAATATTGATCTTTACAAAAAGTGCGTGTGTGTGTGTGTGTGTGGGGGGGTCCACCTCCCCATCCCCCCCCCCCCCTTGGCTACGAGCCTGGGCACGGGTGCCATTTTTATCCGGACCGTACCAAGATGACTGATGGGTAAAAAAGATGCTGAAATTGAACTGAAGATGAACGATATGAAATAATGCTCAGAAAATGTTTTTGCCGAGCCCCAGATAGGAATCAAACCTAGAACCTTCTGTCCATCTGACCAGACATGAGGTCACATGTTCGATCTCTGTCTGGGGTTCAGAAACATATGCTCAGTCCAAATGTTTGGGAGAACAAACGTCCACCATGGTTAATAGAATAGATGGTTTGGAAACTCATTAGAATAACAATATAACTCATTATCTATGTTAGTCAACGTTTATTCATAAATCTGGTCCTTCACCGTCACGTGCGTATTGTATTTTTGCTCAACTAACCATTGCCATTCCAGTTTAGCGAGCTGTTTTAGTTGACCTGGGCAGTAGACCTTATGTATAATGACGTGACAAGGATTGATGCCCGCGTAGAATGCTGGTCTTAGTAGTCATCGCCCGGAAAAATTTCGGTAGTGTCATAGCGGCCATTTTGAATTGTTTAATTTTCCCGGGCAATGACTACTAAGATCAGCATTCCTCGCGGGCATCCAGCCTTGTCACGTCATTATGCATAAGGTCTATTCATCTCATTTCATGTATAAATTTAGCTCTGTTGTCCCACATCAGCTGGTTTTATGATAGGATAAAAACCGAATGCGAGTGTCTCTTTCTCGACTCAGAGACGTGAAGCGTTTTCTAGTCGAAAAGGAGATGTGGGGCTTGAGTTTTGTTGCACAATCAAGTCCCGAATTCAAGACTTATGCCAGGTCTTGAATTGAAAATGTAAAACCCGATAGGGGTCTTACATTTGAGACCCGGTACCAGGTCTTATATTCAAATGTAAGACCCATACCGGGTTTTACATTTTCAGCTCAGCCTTCAGAGTCTTTAGTCGGAAACCAAAACCGACCGAGAACAATAGAAAATGCGTGTGGTAGGTTTATAAACATACTGAACATCCCACACTGACTATTGTATACACACCGAAAAACACACGCTCTGTTACAGCATTCAACAAGTTTAAGATCACTGCTGTCAGGCCTGTTCAGGAAAATGTAGCGAGCCTGTAAAGCTGTGATGGTAACAACCTCAATCAGCATTGATGTCCACGGATTAGTATTCATCAGTCTTGATATATCTGATGTCAACATGAGTACCGTTGCCTCATATCTGATACAGTTGGCTGTTCTTATAGACTGCTGTTGTTAATAACATAGTCTGTTATAATTTATAACAGATTGTAACAGTGCTGACGAGTCAACAGACAACAGTCTGTTATCAGTTGTGACCAGACTGTTGGAATAAAAGACTATAACAGCTTCCATATCAAGTGCACCATGTGCTACAAAATCTGCAATCTGCTGCTTTTTGGTATAAAGTACTTACACACTGTACCTACATCCATAACAAACGTCTATCGCACTATGATCGCACTGAAGTGATCTGCATTGGTAATTCAGATTTCAGACTCAGCGTAATACCACGAGGCTATAGTCAAACCGGCAATAATCACAGTCCCATTACTGTCGTCTCGGCAGTTGAGATAAATAGCCAAAGGCAAAGTGAAGCTGGCAGATTATGGTCATAATATAAAACAATCGATTTCTTTTGAAGAATGCTCCAACAAATACTATTTAGAAAGGTCAATTCTAGGACAGCTAGTACATGTATGACAGCAGATGAGCTAAGCCTAATTCCCTTACAGAGAACGATCCGTACTGAGTCCACTGACAGTTGAAGGTAACCAACCTTTCAATTCTAAACTCTTGCTTTTTGTTAGCACTCAAGACATTTTCATGTGCCCACCCATCGTTCAATCAGATAAAAAGACATGTCTACCAGGAAAATACATTGTCTCCTAGCTGGCCTGCGCAGGCGCCCAATGATGGTGCATTAGACGCACATCAACTTTCTCCCAGCATCTGAATTTTCTGACCATGCATCCTTTCATTGGGCGAAAAAGAATCCACACCCCCAACATATAGACCCAAGTTACACCCCTGTTTCACTTTGTTTAACCCATTAAGCACCAGCACTCTCCCCTTGATGAGTAAAATAATCTGGCATTAGACAGAGTAAAATAATAAAGTAGGGTGCATGAGGGCACAGGGGAGAGTGCAGGCACCCAATGGGATATTAGCAGTCCAATTAGGCTTGGAGAATGTATCATGGGTAGAGCAAAATGAAACTTTGATAAATATTTAGTAATGAAGTATTCATACACTGGAACTGTTTTGTACTGCAACAAAGATCATGAGTTTCATCAGTATTCAATATATAATACATAGAGGATAGTATGTACAATATAAGGTGGACTTGAATGATGTGGTATCTTGCACTTCACTTGGTGGAATTATTATTAGGGTGTTAGGGTTTGTAAGCCAAGTGATTATATACATTTTAAGACCTTACCAGGAACGACTGTGAAAAATGCAGCACAAAGTCCTCTGGTAGGAGTTGAACCTACGGCCCTGCGATTCTGGTGCAGCGCTCTAACCAACTGAGGCCAGCTCAACAGCTGGCCTCTGTAGCTCAGTTGGTTAGAGCGCTGCACCGGAATCGCAGGGCTGTAGGTTCAATTCCTACCAGAGGACCTTGTGCTGCATTTTTCGCAGTCGTTCCTGGTAAGGTCTTAAAATGTATATAATCACTTGGCTTACAAACCCTAACATTCTAATAATATGTACAATATATAATACATAGAAGATAGTATGTACAATATATAATACATATAATTTATATCGCTACTTTCCTGGCACAGAACCAGCTGCCATCAACTAGTGAAAAATGCCAAGATGAATTTCCTGTTTGTACAACAGGATCATATTTCTGCCTATGAAATGTCAGTGCATCTCTTTTGACACTAACTCTGATAGTATGTGATCTGATCCACTTCATATAGGAAGCATGATTATGAAATGCAAGGAGAAACCTGTGTTCACGAAACTTGTCCCGAGTAACAAGAAATGGTGCCATGTTCCACATTGCACTTGCATACATTATATACAGATCATCATCACCAGCATCACTCACAAAGTATTGAACATTGTTTGAGAGGAAAGATGGTGGGATAGATGTGTTGAGTAAGACCAAAACTTTCCTTTCTTGTTGAATAAAATGATCTGATACTTTTAACAATGTATTGAAATTAAATCTCTTCTTTTGTTTTTGAACATTTGAAGACAATCCAATACTCATGCCATCAATGATGACATCACAAGGAGAACATTGTTTTAGAAATGTCACAAACTTACAAAAGCTTTCTCTTTTGCCAGCTTTTCCCTCTGAGTTGAATATACCTTCTATAGTGTTTAAAATATCTAATTTCAACTCTTCTCTTTCATTTGATGTTAAATGTCCTGAGTCCAAATATTTTCCACAGTTGTTGCATAATCCTTCTTTTGAAATATGACAATCCTTCATGGTCCAGCTATTCACAGGATCATTGTCTAACCACTCTTTTATTGCATTTAATATTTGCAATGTCAGCAGTTGACCACTGTGGTTATACCAGAGCAGAACTTCCGTAGCTTTGTTATATTCAGATATTTCACTTTGAAAACAAGACTTAATCAGAGCAACTGTCATATTTGGAGGTATGGACATGGTGATGCTTTTCTTGGATTTAAATGTATAATGGTGCATCTCATCAAAAAGTTCAAAAGCTTTATTTTGATGGCCATTTTCAGCAAGATTAGTGATTATAGGAAAATATGTTCTAGTGTGTCTCAATAATCCAGCATTTTTCATTTGATCAAGTACATTAACAGCATTTATATGTTGGTTTCTTCTAACATAAGATTTGATCAATGTTGTCAAAGCACCTTCTCCGCAATTTATATTCAAATCTTTAATTTTTGCTCTGATTTTGTCCAGTGTTCCAAAGTCTTCGTTTTGATTCAAAATATAAAACACACTTCCCCATGTTCGTTTTGGTAGTCTAAGTAAAGATAAATCATCTGCTTTATCCAATCTCTCAAATATTCGAGATTCTTTTCCTGATTTCAAATCCATTTCAATTGATTTTTCCAAGTTTTCACCAGTGGAGGTTGTCAGAGGCATTGTACCTAGCATGCCATGCTTATTTCTGTTCAGTTGAGAATATTTTGAGAAAATAGAACACATACCTGTGGCATTTTTGAGCATTGATTTATTCTGCACGCAGATTCGAAGGTAGTTTTGATAAAATCTAGTGGCATTCTGCATAATATCGTTTTGTTTTATCTTATAGAATCATTAGAATGAAAAATATTTCTCAATTTCTGCCTAAATATGTTACTGAGGAGCCTGCGATTTCGGTGATGATGATGGCAACGTGATTGTGAACTTCTTCTTATTGGAATATAACGGATCCACATTCCACCTCTTGTGTTGCCGCGTGTAAACAAATGCAAAAGCGATGCACGTTTTTACTCATGATCGGCAGTTTTTCGTAGACTGCGGAATATTTTCAGTCAAAATGCAGACATTCATTAATTTAGGGACCGGGGGTGGGCTAGCAAAATTCAATTAATAACTAAACAAAATGTCCTGACCCACCCCCTGCATCACAAAAAAATTCAATGACCCCCTTCACATGAATTCTAAAAAATAATAACCCCCCCTACCACCACCACCACCGACAATATAATAAATGTACAGTGCTGTATAGAAATGCGCTTTTTAAACTTGTTCGGTAAAAGGCATCAGCTCTTTCATTTACTTGTGCTTTCAACAATTAGTATGCATGATTTAACCCATTAAGGGACAAGTCATTATTAATGCCGGGTAGGGGGCTGGAGGAAATTTTTATGAATAGCAAAAATTTTTCCTGACCCCTTATTTTTCTAACAAAATAATTTTATCCCCCCCTTATCGAGGCAACATTTTCATAGCCCCCCCCCCGCCCCCAATTCTGAATTCAATGACTCACAGGTTCATAACCATTTTTCCTGCCCTCCTACTTGTTTACTTGCAGCTGTAAATAATATTGTAAATTTTGAAAATGATAGCCAAGGTGGAAAAGAGTGACTTTAGTTTACAATAGACACAATATAGACAATTCAGACTTTATACCTGAAAAGTTGTTGGTCCTCAAACCAAACTCACATATCAGGCCTACTTTTACTATAAATTGAAAAAAATATATTTGTTTCTGGTGGACTCAGGGCCTTTTTTAACATACAAGCTGGGGGCCCCCCAGTCTCCCCTTGTGCTCCCACACGAAATCACATTTTGCCCCCCCCCAGGAAAAGTCCCTTTTTCCTAAAATTATACAAACAATCCAACGAAGATTAACAAATAGATAAACGGAAAGTAAGTTTTAGGCTTTATCCTTTGTTCTTGTTTAACAAAATCGATTTAAATTGTTACTTTTTTACCACTAAGTAATGATAAATTATTGTTAATATTTTTTTATTTTTTGGATGCTCAGAATGCAGGAAATAGCATTTCACGGTTTCAAATTTCAAAAATTTTCTTGGGATTATCCCTCTAATAAGTAATGATAAATTACAGTTAATATTCTTTTTTACTTTTTGTGCATTTTTCCATCTTTTATTTCAAATACAATATAGTTAGCATAAATTTTAGAGCAAATTTGGATGCTCAGAATGCAGAAAATGGCATTTCCGTGCTTCAAATTTCAAAAATTTTCTGGGGGAGTACACCCCCACACACCTGACCATTGCTATCCTCCTCTAATAAGTAATGATAAATGATGGTTAATTTTTTTTTACTTTTTGTGCGTTTCTTCCTTTATTTATTTCAAATACAAGTATAGTTAGGATAAATTTTGGAGCAAATTTGGATGCTCAGAATGCAGGAAATGACATTTCCGGGAGTCAAATTTCAAAAATTTTCTGGGGGAGTACACCCCCAGACCCCCCATTCATGCGTGGTATATTTGCCACACACGTGGCTTTCAGCCATTGCTATCCCCCTCTAATATATTATCTCGCAGAAAGGTCCCTTTTCAAAAAATGCCCCCCCCCCGGGAAAATCCTTAAAAAAGGTCCTGCTGGTGGTAGCAAAGAGATGGCAGAAGAGACTGTCAACAACATACAGAAACAGAACATGCCAAAGAGGTCTACTGATAAACCGCATAAAACAGGACAACAACTGTCAATTGAATCTGCATTTGCAAATGCAGTACATGACCCTTCAGACAAATTCTACTGATGACGATGACAATTTCCATATACAGTAGTTACAACACAACTTTTCGGTTCAATATATTGGGCATTACTATTCAATGTATGTATGTATGTATGTATACTGTCTATATCCGTTACTCTTTTGATATTACATGTTACAAACTATTCCATAAACTTTATAATTTGATCCCCCCCCCTTCATGTTCAAAATATTTTCTGGCCCCCCATTCACTGGTAAAAATTTTTTGTGGCCCCTCAAAATTTCCTCCGGCCCCCTATCCGGCATTAATAATGATTGGTCCCTAAGCTGCAGAGTTTCCTGTTGACGAGTAAAATCGTCTGGCGTTAAACAAGTAAAAAAATAAGTACTGGGGCGCAATGGGTTAACTAGAAACATTGTCAGATTTTTTTATTTAGCGCCGAAGAGGCTAAAGCTGGGGGTCATAGACCATTTTTCGGTGACTAAAGGCGGTTTTCCAGTCCTCGCACGAAGCTCCTCGCAGCTCGCTGCGAGTGCTTGCATCTAATTAAACTGAACTGTTTAGCATTATGATTGGATGAAAGTGCTCATGCATCACTCGCAGGAGCTTCGCAAGGAGCTTCGTGCGAGGACTGGAAAACCGCCTTAAGAGTGTAGTTGCTTGAAGTTGCTTGAGCCGAAAAAAGTTGCTCCAAACGCAAAACATTGCTCAAAAGTTGCCGAGCACAATTGGGACATGCCTAGCAGAGCTTCGAAGGCCAAAGGCCCGAGGAAATTTTTTAATTAATAGAGTCTCTGAAATGCCATTTCCTGGACTTTGGCCGGGAAGATTTGACAGAATTCTGATGGTCAGAAAACAACATTTTAGTATGTCGAAATTTACAATTTAGTAGCACTAAATGGGCGAAGGCGTATTTAATTAACTATATCAATATTGGATAAGTTGCAGGAAAGTATGAGAAATATAATCTTCATTCTTTGCAGTTTGTCATGGGTAATGTAGCCACTTAAAATAAATCAATTGTCAGTATTTTAAAAGGTATATTATTTAAATGATTCTGCATGATTTTGGAAAAAGAATGATTAGCATGAATGAGAATGAAAAAGAATGATCTGCATGATTTTGGAAAAAGAATGATTAGCGGTTGCTACGGTCCTGGGTTAGGAATAGGGTTAGGGTACAGGGCACTACGTCAATGAACTACAAAGACCGCTAACCAGCTAGTGACTCGAACAGTGGCGGCGCCAGGCTTCCAAATTTGGGGGGGCATTTGAGGGGCAAACTCAAATTTTTTTGGGGGGGGCAAGATAGAATTTTTAAAAAGGTCGCCCCCCCAGGAAATTCGCCCCCCCCCTCAAAACGTGGCGATATTCCTAGGAATATCGCCCCCGGGGGCGAATATCCTAGGAATATCGCCTCCCAGGGGGGTGGGGCGAATACCCTAGGAATATCGCCCCTCTTTAGGACATTCGCCCCCCATATATGCGATGTGGTTTATTCAAATAATTTCGTGATACTTTCATCTTATTATTGCCTTACACGTTTGAGAATTTAACTCTGCAAAACTAAAGCTTTTTTGTCTTTTTTTGAAACGTATTATTGGAGTATTGGCAAGTTTTACCATTCAGAGATTTACAAACTAATATTGAAACTGTAAAAAACAGTTTCATGTATACGCGCATTCACTAATGAGTAATGACAACTTATAAGCCATACATTTTCCGATAACGACAGAACGCTTGTGTAGCCTTTAGTCGCTCTTAGTGACTAATAATAATTTTTTTTGAGGGGGGGGGGGCAAAATGGGGGGGGCAAAAAATAATTGGGGGGGGGCATTTGCCCCCCCTTGCACATAATTGGAATATGACAAATAATCACACACAAACACATAATTGGAATATGACAAAAATTTATGGCAAGTTCATGGCAAAAGTTATAAAGGTAGATGTTCGATTATTTTTCGTATTAGCTGCGCCCATTGCATCTTGGGTATTTGTGCATTGCATTTTGGGTCTATCTGTCAATTAAAATTCAGAATTTTGCTAGCTATATACATGAATTAAATTTGCTGCTTTGCTCGCTCCCTGTGGTAGCAATAATCGTTACATGTCAAATTTTTCTCCACTATAATAAATAACTGGACCCCCTCTTCTGAACTAATATTTTTAGGTACCCCCCTTTTTCAGTCAAAAATACCTCATGACCCACCCCACCCCCTTTTTTTGCCAGCCCACCCCCAGTCATATATAATGAATGGTCCCTTAGAAAGTCAAAGAAAGTTTTTAATTGACCTCTCGTCCCAGGGATGCCGGAAGTTGCTGAGGGCAAGGGGTGCGACTTACTATCAAAAGGGCACATTTTTTAAAAAAGGGCGGAAACATAAATGAAAGGGCACTTGCCTACTTATAACTTTATTTAAAATCAAACACAAGCAATGAAGCAACCTTTTATTAATTTCAAACATTAAAACAAGGCACACAGAATTAGCAGAAAACTGTTTCGCTTTCTCTTCTACTGAAAAAAGTTTTGTGTGACCATTTACTAGCTATGTTATGAAACTAAATCGTTCATTGTTTATAACATATATAAACTTAATAAACTCCTCAAATATAACCTATTTGTTTGAAATCTTTTGTGCACCCGTTGCACCCATAGTCTGCACCCGCGCTGCACCGAAATAGTTGTGAATACAAAAGGTATGGGGTGCACTTGCACCAGCGGTTCCGGCATCCCTGTCTCGTCCTTTCCTGTTTCCTATGTCTTCAATTTCTGTAAAACCTCTATTAATATCTAAATATCCCACCTGTCGATTACGCTCTTCCCAGCGAGGGCTCAGGGACTATAGAGACCATTTCCATATTTTTTTGCTCAAGATCTCGTGTGACACCTAACACAACGCGGAAACGTTCTAGGACATTTCTCCTCTCTATTAAAACACCAAGTCTGCCTCTTCGCCGATCACAAGAAGAACACGTGTATTGATTACACGAACTTCATGCTAATTTACTTCATTTCGGCAAAATCAATACAAGCCATTACCCTCCCCCTCCTTTTAGACTATCAAATTCGAGGAGGAGGGGTGTTGGCTTCTGTTGCTTCAGTAGAGGATCAGCTACAGTATTACTATTGGGACTATTAGCTACAGGTACTGAGGGACTTTCAGTGTTCAATTCCGTGGATGGGACAGAAGGAAGGTTAGAAGTAAACTGGGAATACGTTTATATTTACCCAGTCATCAAATTAATTTGAAAGACGAAATAAGTGTCCATGATGTTTTCTATTCTAACCGAGTATGTAATTCAGAAATATACAGACTGTATAATACAGCAATGATCAGCAATGTTAAGAAGTAGAAGTCATATTGTCTTACTCATTACAAGTTTTCATTTGATCCAAAAATTATCAGATACATATAATTGAAGAACTGTCCCTAAGGGACCGGTCATAAAGTAATTACTAGAGGGGGTGGAGGATAAATGAAATTTTAAGTACATATTTCCATACTCTCCCAAAAACTTATGGAAAAATGTTCGTAACCCCCTTCAATGTAAGTGAAAATTTTCATACCCCATGTCCCCTTTCTATCAATAATTCCGGTTTTCCACTAGGCGAAATTTTTCGATCGAACCGAAATTTCTATTGTTCAAATTCAAAAGATTTCTGTTTAGTTCCATCTGAGTGCTTGTAAGACAAAAGAAAATTTCGATTCGGTCGAAAAATTTCGCCTAGTTCTAATGGTGCGAGCTTGCTAGCATTGACAATTCAGATATATCGGATTTGTACTCCAAACGTTCCACGGATACTGAATCCTACTTATGTTATACTTTATATACTTTATTTAGAAATGGTAAATACATTGCAGCCATGAGCTGAATTGCGTATTATACTTACAATTAAAAATTATTAAAAATTAGAGTTTTGAAATATATCAAAGTATTATAATTAATTAACTAAATTGTCAAAAGTGTCTGTTTATAATAAGCATGCAAAAGTTATTAAGAATATAAAATAGGTAAATGAAGAGTAAAACCTATTCAGTTTTGCTACTCGATGCCATAATAAAACTATTACTAAACCGATTGGTTTTACAAACTGGAACGTCAAAAGATCTAATAGATCTCAGGTCGTGGATGGATTATCTGACATTAGTAAAACAATTCTTTCCAAACTTAAATTTGGGCACAAATACATTCAATATTCAACAATAATTATAAAATGTAATTTTTTTCCGTACCTATAGTACTTTTAGTACTATAGTAAGATTTTGGTACCCCCCAGAGGTTCTGTTGTTTTTTTCGTACCCCCCAAAAATATCCTCCACACCCTCCAGTAAATACTTTATGACTGGTCCCTAATGGACCGACATTTGAATATTAATATTCAATATCAGTAGTTATTAATAAACGCGACATCAAAATCTATCACTATGATTCTCTGTCCTCCGCAGAGGCTTTTCAAAGGCGCTAGATGATAAGTAAGAGGTGAGAAAGTTCGTCATGTTTCGCGCACGAATACATTTTTGATTTTGACCCATTTGCAACCCCAGACCACAATCCTAACGTCACTGTACACCAAACATACATAACGATATAAGGCGAAATTAACAGCGACTTTCCTAATTCCTATCTGTGTTGGTATGGTTCTGTTGCTACTCTACTAACTCCAGCGCATGAAAACCTCTGCGGAGGAGAAGAGCGACTACTTCTTCCAATAATCTGTATTGTGTACACCACTCGTCATCACCCTCGTACCCAGGCTCTTTTCTTTCTTTCACGACCCTGGGTACGAGCTTGCGCACGCATTACTTGTTGCAAAATTATCACGTCCAAAATCTGTCAATAATCTATTTCTTCTCACATACATCTATGTGACTGTAACATGCCGTATCTGTTTTGAAAAGCTCGCCACATTTCCAACAGATATGTGCATTACATTGTCTACAATTTACATGTGAACATCCTTTATTTTTCTCAATCATAACTGAACATTTAGGACACTCGCGGGTATCTGCTCTTTTCGCCCATTCCTTCAATTGTTGCTCTGACTTCGACAATCCTTCTTTACTCGCTTTATAAGCTTCACACGTATCAAATTTGTCATGAGCTGAATCTCCACATTTCTTACACAAACGAATGTCACATTCAGGGCAGGCAAACACGCCTGGACTGGAAGTGACTTCATATACCCAGGAACAATCAGGTGTGGGACAAGGCTTGTAGCTAGTGTTGCCAATCAAAAAACATTCCAACGAAACTTGGTAGAGCTTTTGAATTTGTTCTGTATTTAAAAGCGCTACGTAATCTTCCTTGATGGAAGGGGATTCACATCCCTCGCACATACACTTCTGAGGAAACATGTTAGCACTCTTTACTGAATCAAAAACATTGCTAAGATACTGCGTGATACAAGCAGAACAATACGTATGGCCACATAAAGTGAGAAAATACGGAACTTCAACGTCGGCAAAACAAACAGGACATTCAGTATCAACGTTTGTTGCTCTTCGTGAATTAGGCAAAGTTTTAAGAAATTCTTCTACTTTATTTTCAACTTGACTGACAGCTTCTTTTACTCCGTCTAGTTTAAGTTTTCGACGTCTGATCTCCATGGATGCTTGGCAGTCTTCCCCTTCAACTAGTTTGTTAAGGTCTTTCCCGAAATGCTTCAAAATCTCTCGGATTGCACCCACGGGTCGATCTGAATGTCGCAAATCGATCTCTAAATGCGTGGTTTTCTGCAGGTCTTCAATTAATTTCTCAATCTGCGTCCGAGCTCGGCGTTTAGCTTCTGAATTGCCAGTTATTTGAATACGACGACCGAAGTTGCTTCTCTGAATCATGACGTTGTTTTTGTTCTGGATCGGATTGACTTTCCCACGGCCATAACCACTTGACAAGAGCTTCGCGACTCCTGCGTCTTCGATCACCACGACCTCAGGGGCTACTAAATCTGCTACTCTAGCTCCGATAGTTTGGACGACCTGAAAAATACAAAATGAACATGTGGTTGCAATAGATGTAAAAATAAAATGGATTCAGATTATACTTGCAGCAACATACAACGTAATTATTCTTGCTATTCTTTCTAAAGTCTTAGAGACTCTTGTTTGCAAGGCATACTTAATTTTTTTCTGTATTGGTGTTATGTACTCAGGTGAATATGACGTTTGTGATGTTACTCTGAGTGTATATCCACACTGGAGTTATCTAACGGTCAGTTCCATTTATCACCAGTCCAATTTGGTTTTCGACCAAAGTATCCATGTCTTTCCTCACTTACAATAGTCCATGAATACCTTATTAACAATATTGAGAACGGAGAAATTAATGGATTATTAAAGCGTTCGATTTGGTTGATCACAATATTTATTACAAAAAATTGGTTTATATGGAATTACTGAATTCGAAATTAGTGGCAAGTGGTTTGCCTCATACCTAACCAACCGCACACAGCAGGTCCATCTGAATGATCATTTGTCCAGCCCCTTAATTATCAATATTGGTGTTCCCCAGGGATCAGCCTTCTTTTGTTCCAATCTATATTAATGATTTGCCGCAATCTCTCGTGCACTCTGATCCGAATCTTTTTGCTGATGCACTTTTAGAACATAAATCTGACTTAACTGTAATTCAAGAGTGCCTCTCCAAGGAACTGACCAATGTCTCTCAATGGACTTCGAGTAATCGAATGATATTCCAAGCGCAAATTTCCAGCTCTAGGTTCTTGTTTAATTGGACCTGACTTTTCTTATATTGAAGAAATTACGTCTGGCAAACTCTTAGGACTTACACTTGATAGCCACTTTGTGAGGGTTAATCAAATTGATAAGATATATAGCAAGATTAACTCAAGATCGTTTCTGTTTAAACGAATCTGCGAAGCTCTTCCTTTTGACTCCAGAATAAAATTTTATTTCGGTCTAATTTACCCTCATTTTATATATGGTATAACTATGGTAATGCTTCAAATGAGCTGCTCCATCCGTTATTAAAGTTGCAAAAACGGGCAGCGCGTCTAATATTAAATGAAAGTGTGTCCACGCCATTTGTTGTAATTTTTCGTAAATTGAAATGGATTCCAATTCATAATCTTATATTTGTACAACTAACCTGAGGGTCCTCTCCAGTAATTATTATCTTCTTACGTCTCTGACGTGGCTCCACTTCAATAATGATTTCGTCATTCTTGAGTGCTTCGATTTCCCTCCTTATCTTGTCGTACAATCTGCCATCACACGTGATTTCTCTCTTACTCTCCAACTCCAGATACATCGCCCTAACTCCCAACACGTCGCTCTTTTCATTTAACTTGAGGATAACGTCCTGAGCGCTTTTTAATTCCTCGAACACTACACATGCACGAACTTTCTTACAATTTGCAACCCAAAGTGTCAGAATTTGTACAGTTTCGAAATCTTTCATGACTTCCATCAATTTTTCTTTCTCTGCTTGAAGATCTACCTCATGGAGTGATGGTTTGGACGGAACTGTAATTTTCGAGACGTCTTCAACTTGGGACGTGGTACAACAACCTTCAAGTTGTTTCCTGACTGTAAATTCATCGTCCGTTTCCTGAACAAATACAGCGATATCACCACCTGACTTCTGCACAAAAGATCTTTTTGAAAACCTCGTTGTCATTTGTCGGTTGAGATTGCAAACTATTTCTTCAGCGATATCTCGACTCTTACACTTGATGTAAGCTTTCTCTCTGGCAGGCAAAGGAAACCAGCTAACTAAAACCTTAACACCAGAAGGCTGGGTATAATTCTGAGATGCAGTACTTTCAACACGGGTAGGTTTCAGTTGTATTCTTCTCACGTTGTACGGCAATTCATCTCGATTTCGAACAGAATGTAGGTGGGTATTTGCTTTCTTGGCTTGGCTAACATCAGAGTACGTCACATCACCCCATCTGAAATTAGGTCCACTCATCGGATTGGTGCAGGCAGCATAATGAATCACATTTCCCGCATCACGGAGTATGTCAAGAACCTCATCAAAATTGACCTAAACAAAAGTATAATGACCCTGTTATACGTATACAGATGGTTTTTCTCAACCTTCACAGATTTTTCACAACTTTTCCAGCTTTAACCTACAATGTCTGTTTTCATTCCACGCAACTACATCAATCAGGTTACAACGTGGCGCTTTCAAAATCTCTTTAGTTATTTGAGGGCTTTCTCCTGTTTAATTTGTGCCAATGTACGTGACATAACGGTGTGGTGTACTGTACAATTAGTGTCCACAACAGGTTTTGCGGAAACTAAGATAACGTTTATTTTGGTAAAGAAATAGAAATGAAAGCACGGGAAATGGTACTCTGGGATGCTGAGAATTTCCTAGTTAGGGTTTCCTAATAGAAAAATGGAGGATTCAGCATTTTAAGATTTCAGGGACACCATGGAATATATAAAGAGCTAGCCGGGAGCAGTTGGAAAAAGCCATATAGTGATATACTACAAACCACCCAGCAGGAATACAACCTGCGGTTCTGTGATTCTAGTGATGAGATCTCCTTCCGTTTTTTTGAAACTTTATTTACCGAGAGTTACACATAATAGTTTGACAACTAATAAACTTGTGCCCCTCTTAGTTTAAGAACCCTACTAATGAACCTTCTGTACTAAATGTGCGATGCTATATCACAATATATCAACTTTGAAAGAGATCAACACTAATAGTAAATCAATACAAAATAATACAAACCTCTTCGCTCACATCTTCTTTCTCCACAAAGACATCAAACTTGCAAGATGTTCCAGGTTGAAGGATCAATCTCGTTGTCAAGTCGTTTGCAACTAACGTCTTCAGACCTCCAACATTTGAAATGAAAACTTCTGAGTAACCTTCAAGTTCACGTCGCTTCTTCCGAATCACATCGTTCACCTGGTTACTGGCGTAATTAAGACAATCTTCAGTCGTATAGACATCTACCATTCCTTTGTCTACGTTACATTCCACTGCACAAAATGCAGTGTGTCCATCAATTGCTGGAAACCTGGCACTGTATTCTGATACAGAGGTTTCTATCTGCTTTATAGTTAAACCTTTGTAGCCAATCACAGCTTTAACCAGCTCTGGACCAATTGGGTAGATCCTGTGTCGTACAACTCGTGATCTTGCAATGGTTTCTTCATCAACATACTGTAACATATGCATAGCAACTTCCGCGATCCAGTCATAGTGTATTGGTGTTAGATTAAGTAAGAATACCTGATTCGTGCGTTTAAGTTGCTGGTACAGTACCCATTCAGGCTGATCACCAAGACTGGAGAGAACAGACGAAGGATGAATTATGGCTTTCTGATCGGACGAAACCGTCATATAGCCGAGCTTCTCATGACCAAATGACCAAGCTATATTTTCAAAATATCCAGCTAACAAACTTTTACTGAGAGATTCCTGGATGTTTTCTGCTGTCACTTGTAAGTTGAGTCTAGGTCGTATTTTAGAGAGCGCATCTCGAATCTCGTTACCAGTTTCTCGAGCAGAGCGAAGTAATTTGGAATTCAATGCATTCTCCTTGCACCAGGCTACTTGAATCTTAGGCTTAGATGACATCGCAAACCACGTTTTATACACATCGATTGCACTCAGGAGATCACCACTGGTCTGGCAGAATTCTTGTTTTTGAATCGCGCACTCGTTTCTCTTCTCAACGGTTCCTCGATAGAAAACGTCATGTCCGCTCGACATAAGTGCCGCGGCAATGATGACGTCATCACCACACCCTCGGTCCAGTCCCTCGAGCAGCGCCTTTGATAGCTGTGGTTCAGTTGGTAGTTGAAGCATTTCTTCGCCTAAATGGTTCAATGTTCCATCAGGGTTCAAAGCACCCAGTAGTTTCAAGCTCTCTCGTGCTTTCTTCAGCGCAGAAGGAGGTGGACTCTCAACAAAGTCAAACTTCTCGATATCTGTGACTCCTAAACTCAGCAACTGAAGGACAGCCATTCCAAGATGCATTTTTAAAATCTCTGGTTTTGTACTTGAGTCCATGTTGTTGTAATCTTCTTCTGTATACATACAGTAACACTTGCCCGGCCCTGTACGACCTAGCAATAAAGAAAATTACAGGTTTTAGTTATCCTGAACAGAAATATACATCCCGCTAAAAATAAAGGTCCTGTTATACGTAACAATACTTCATGATAATTGTAAGGGTAATTGTACATCAAGTAACAACTGTAAGGAACTGCGCGCCTACTATATCCGCCATTCGTTCGTTCCCAATCGTGTTCGTAAGTTCTGTAAAAACGTACCTGCCCTACCAGTCCGCTGTTTAGCAGAACTCTGGCTCACAAGTTTAACATCCAAAGTGGTCATATTTCTAGCAGGATCGAAGGACGGCTCTTTCACCATGCCTGAATCAATAACAATACGAATGCCATCAATGGTGAGTGACGTCTCTGCACTGTTTGTTGCGACAACGATTTTTCTTTTTCCCTCAGGCGGTGCGTCAAATACCTTGAAAAAACAGAAATTCAAAAATATTTAAGAGGGATTAAACTGCCTGAAAAATACAGTAAAACGTCTCGAGCGAATGTCCTTTGTCGGAAAGTACACGAACTCACGCACGAACGTCTACATGTTATTGTCACCATTTACGCTGGCACATACCTCTTTTGTCTATTTAAAGGGATATGGCAATGTAAAATAAGTTTGTCTTATTTGAAAGAACATTTAAAATGATGTATAAACAACTTCCTTTACAATTATTCCGTATCTTGCTTGGTTTTTGAAATAAATCGACTTATTTTGATCAAAAGCAGCGTGCATTCCGCCATCTTTGATATGCATTCGATATGCATACGTCACAAGTAGGGTAAAAAGCGAAATTTTTATCTTGCAAACCACATGTCATTATGAATATGAAACTCGATTTTCCGAAGTCTTTTTAGTACTAAATTAACTCGCAACATTTTAAGAAATTTTTCGAAGAAATTTAGTCCCACATGAAGAAGTTTTAACAAGTTTATTAGGATAATAGGGTTTGTAATCCAAGTGAGAATATATACATTTTAAGACCTAACCAGGAACGACTGCGAAAAATGCAGCACAAGGTCCTCCAGTAGGAATTGAACCTACGGCCCTGCGATTCCGGAGCAGCGCTCTAACCAACTGAGCCACGGAGGCCAGCTGTTGAGCTGTAACCGTAAGTTCATGTGTATATAGGTAATCGGGTGTGCGGGTTGTGATAAGGTGGACTTGAATGACTTAGATTCTTGCACTTCACTTGGTGGAATTAATATTAGGATGTTAGGGTTTGTAATCCAAGTGATGTCATCAAAAACTCAGTTAATTAGGCCAATTATGATACCATGGATAATAAAATAAATGGATAGGAAACTAGCTGACGTGACCTAATGTTTTCAATCGGCTGATGGCGTGATTGGATGTTGAAACCTAGTTGCAAACCAAGTTCTCAAAAACGGCATGTTTAGCAATAATACAGCGAAACATTTTAGTCAATGAGCAAATAAAGATAACTACGCCATTCTACGATGAAATCTCTAAGTATTTCCAGTCAATTTTAGCAAATATTTCAAGCACTAAACAGTGAAAAATGCATCGCAAATGTTGTTAAAATTGGCGACACCAATTTCGTAGCTCTACAAATGTAAAATACAAAACAAAGACGAAAAACATTTACCTTGAATACTTTGTCGTGGCTTAGGCATGTTTTTAAAACAATTAGACCAGTTTGGAGAACTTTGGTATATTTGCAATACGCGTGACGTCACAGATTGCAACTAGGTTTAGACTGTGACGATCAGGACGTTTTCTATCCAGTTACTTTGCAATCCACGATAATACCAAGATGGCGGACTGCACACTATTTTTCGTGAAAATACTTCGAAAACCAAGCAAGGTACGAAAACGTTGTAAAGGGTCTTCATATATAACTTTAAAATTTCTTTCAAATAAGACAAAGTTAATTTTTATTGCCATATCCCTTTAACTCGGTCTAACACCTGAGGTTTCACATCTGCTACCCGGCTTCCCCCAAAACGTTCAATAAATCCACGAGATTTGTAGGAATAAGGGTTTCACAAGAGCTGTGTCTGAGATAAGTTGTTTCAAAGTTTGGTAGTAGCCCAGGTCCTAGTACTCAGCCTGTGGACAACCGACCAAAAGATGATAATAATTTTACACGCGTCAATGTGACAGTACATGATCAAATCATATTTTTATATTTTTGACACATTGAATCATTCTCAAGTTATTCAGTGTAATATTAATATATGTAGCACTAAATCCAAATCTTAGGATGTTTTTCGAACAAACAAACATTTAGAGTCAAGGTTGCAATTGGGATCATCATCAAAGGGAAATATATTCACACGCGAAATACGAGGATCCAATCTAAAACTTTCTCCTTCTAATATAATATACAAAAGTATTGAAGTACCTTCTGTTGTTCATCTGATTGTAACTTTCCATGAAGTGGAAGGATGATACTTCCCCTTCCTAGTTTCTTCTGTAATTTATCACATGTCTTCTCAATTTCATTCTGCTGCGTCAAAAACACGAGAATATCTCCCTGTTCTCCGCTTTCACAAACCTCCATCACCTTCTCATACACACCATCAACATAATCATAATCTTCAGGTCTTTCTCTTGCATAAACAGGCTCTACGGGAAATGTCCTACCTGGCACTTTCACCAAGGGACAATTGCCGAAATATCTTCGGAACACCTCGATATTCAACGTAGCCGACGTTACGATGAGCTTAAGACGAGGAAACGAAGTGAGCTGTCGCTTCAACATGGCCACAAGTAAATCTGTGTGAATAGATCTTTCATGCGCTTCGTCGATAACAATACACGAATATTGTTGCATCGTCTCGCCGCCTTTCAGAACTTCGTTCAATAAAATACGGTCAGTAACAAACTTGATAATTGTCTTTTTATTGGTTTTCTTATCTAAACCAACATGATATCCTACTTCTTGGCCAACCTTACATCCATACTCTTCAGAAACGCGCTTTGCTAAACTTATTGCTGCAATCTTTCGAGGTTGCGTTACAACAATCTTTTTACCTTGACTCCACGTTTCCTCCGCTAAATATTGCGCCAATTGTGTACTTTTCCCAGAACCCGTTTCCCCAACAAGAACCACAATCTGACTACCACCGACAGTTTCTAAGATTTCCGTACGCTTCGCATAAATCGGTAAACTTGCCTTAAACTTTCTAAATTCCCTGTCAGTTATATGTTTGTGAGTTTTCAAAATATCTTCGATTCCTTTCTTGTTGCTAACACTTCGGTGATCTTTAATTTGCTGATTAAAGCTTTCTAAAAGTTGTTGGAATTTCTTTTGAAACTCGTTTCTTTGCTCAATAAGCTCTTGCTTTTTCCCTTCGTATGTTTTTCTTGTTTCTTTACGACGATTAAATTCTTCACGTGAAACATGTTTTCGCTGCGGTCGTAAATCAGGGATGCTAGTTTCAAGAACCTTTAGTTTTTCGTCATTTTTAGTGAGAAGATATTTTTTCTGCTCCTGCACAGGCTCTGAATACTCCTGAAACTGACGTTCTAATTTTCTCCATTCTAATTCTTCTGATATTCCAACACCTGCTGTTACTTCAAGCTTTTCCCCTCCAACACGAAATCCATTCATTTGCTCTATCGCTTCGCCAGCAGAATTTACGGACGTAAAATACACGCGTGCGTAAGTTAATTTGCCTTCTTTTGTTACGTTAATATCAACAACGCCTTGACAGTTTACGAAATAGTTCTTTACATCTTTCTTGCTAATATTTGGATGTACATTTTTCACGACAACATATAGTTTGTCCTGCTTGATTTCTTTTGGTGGTCTTTTCCAAGTTGCTTTTATTTCTGCATCTTTAAAAGACGATCCTCGTAAAGTTTCGTATACTTTTTGGCAATCGTCTTGTGACTTTAGCTTTAGACAGAAGCACTTCTCTTCTGCTTTAACAAGATTTAAAATTTCCACACCCTCGCACTGGTCTTTAATGAACTTCCGAATTTCTTGCTGACCGGTATCCAGGGTGAATCCACGAAGCTGGACTACGTGATTGTTTGGCTTCTGTTGTTGTTGTTGTTGTTGTTGTTGTTGTTGTTGTTGTTGTTGTTGTTGTTGTTGTTGTTGTTGTTGTTGTTGTTGTTGTTGATAATGTTGCATTAGTTTGTGTTGTTGCTGTTGTTGGTACTGTTGCATTAGTAGTAGTTGTTGTTGTCGTTGTTGCTGGTGTGGTTGTTGTTGTTGATACTGTTGCATTAGTAGTATTTGTTGTTGTTGTTGTTGTTGTTGTTGTTGTTGTTGTTGTTGTTGATACTGTTGCATTAGCAGTAGTTGTTGTTGTTGTTGTTGTTGTTGTTGTTGTTGCTGCTGCTGTTGTTTTGCTTGTTGCTGCTGTTGTAAAGCTATTTGCTGTTGAAGCAAAATTAGAAGTTTTTCACTATCTTTGTCTTTTCTTCCTTGTTGCTGTTGTTGTTGTTGCTGCAACGACAGTTGTTTTTGTGGCTGTTGTTGTTGCTGCTGTTTTTGTTGCTGACGCTTTTGTTGTCGTTGTTGTTGTTGTTGATGCTGCTGCTGCTGTCGTTGTGGTTCTCGTTTCCGTTGTTTTTGTTGCTGCTGTTTTTGTCGCTGTTGTTCTTGCTGTTGCTTGTCTTGCCCCTGCTGTTTTCTCTGTTGTTCTTTTTTTGACAGATTCTGCTTTTCTATTTTTTCTTCACTCTCCTGCTCGTGACAATGGACATTTGAAGGCATATCTTCCTTACAAGAAACAGGTAGCGTCTTTTCATGTGCGGTATAAATATCTCTCTTTGAGCTCATTACATTGTCTTTGTCGTCAAAGGAACTTGTTTGCTTCCGTGACAGTGGTTGCAGTGGAACATTCTTCTTGAACAAGCTATGGGTAGTGAAGTCATTGCTGAACAAATTTCGATTTGAGCAGGTTTGATTAGACATATCCATCTCAACAACTGTAGCAATGTTCTTGTAACGGGCTTCTTGAGTGACAGATTTAAGTCGGTCATTCTTCTTAGGCAAGCTATCAGAAGTGAAGTCATTGCTGGACAAATTTCCACTTGAACAGGTTTTGGTAGCTGCATCAACCTCAACAATTGGGACATTTTTCTTTAAATTTTGCGTTTGGCATCTATCGTCTGCTGCTGTGTTTCGGTAGATGCTGTGCCACTTATTCTTGTTACTGGCTAGTGCGCTACGGGCATCATTGTTTGAACTACTATGAGGACTTTTAGGTGGAACCACGTCAACAATTTTCTCGTTTCCAGATCTTCTTTTGTGATGACGCCCCTTCACGTCGGTGAAAACATATTGCGTTGTTGATTTATATGTATCATTCCTGCTGGAACTACTGCATCTCTTCAAAGATGTACTTCGATTACTGTACTTGTGATCTGAGAAAGTATCAACGTGCAGAGGATCTGTGTATGTTAAAGACGTTTTCTTTTCTTCTAAGTTTTGCCTTCTCTGGGATGTTTGATCATGTTCCAACCACACTGCAGGTGTCTTTGCAGGATCAGTTGAGTTTACACTAGCCTGGAAAACACAATTTAAATGTTTACATTTAAATCATACCAACAAATAAAATAAAATCATTAATCTACGTTGCAAAAACAAGACGTTAAGGGCGGACGGGCAGCACAACGGTCTGCATGTTATCTTATTGTTAACACAAAGTGTAGCGCTTTTTTAGCCCCGTTTACACTACGCTCAATTTTTGGTACCGTACCACTTCAGTTTTGGTTGTTGGTCTATCTAAATAGGTAGTCCAAGAACAAAAAAAGTGGTGCGGGTACCAATTTTATCTGTGCCGTACCAAAAATTGAGCGGATGGACCATATTGTTTGGGCCATATTGACTGGGTCATATTGTTTATCTCACACATAACAAGTTCAACTCTTTAAGAACACATTCTAGTCAAGCGGAAGAAAAAGTTGTTCTGGAATTTTTAACTTTTTTACTACAGCAGTATGCTATAAAGATTGATTATGAGCGCGATAAAACTGTTCAACCTTGGTTCCCAATGTGGACTATCAAGAAATGATATGATTAACTGTCTTCTCACTCGTAGGGGGTCCCCCTACGGTAGGGGATTATTGTAGGGGGCAGAGGATCTACGGGGAAAACAGATCATTTGTAGGGGAGGGTCGGCCTCGATGGTCGTGCTGCATATTAACAAAGTAGAACAGGATTTTTAGGTTTATATATAGGTAATGAGAACCATATTGGTGTCTTACTAATAATTTTATGCCACAAGGGTCACTAAATGTTTGATCAAAAGGTTTAGTGTGAAATATGATAGTGTGATGGCCCCGTGTTGTTGGCACAATGTATGCCTGTGAAAAAATGTTGTATTTGATGAAACTGAGAATTAAAGATAAAACTTGTATTTGTATAAATGTGAACCTAAGAAAAATAAGTGTAGGTGTAGACTTGTGGAACATAAAAATGGAGATGCAAGTGTAAAATTGTAACAGTAAAATGTATCCTGCATCAACTTAAATTTATTGGCTGCCAAAGAGTTTATTCACAAAAGCAAACGTAGAATGAGAATAGTTTTTTAGAAAATTATGATATTAAAAATTATGATATAATAAATATATGTTTTTAACCACTTTTATTTGTCAACTTAGTCAGTAAATTCGAATCAAAGGGCACTTTGTGATTTCGTAATAACATGTGATTGGGGATTAATGTGATTACTTAATCCGAAAGTGCCTTTTTGTTTGTGCCCGTTCCTCATTTTTGAGATGCTTCCGCGGCCAATTGGTTAAAATTTCTCTCTCTTTGACGAGTGAATTTAATTATGTGACATTAGAGCTAGAATGTAAAATATTAAACAGAAACGCATTAGGTGCATTACAGAAATGGCTTTTTATACCGTGGGGATCAAAGAACTTCTGTGGAAATCACTATACTCTCCCAGCCCTCATGACATTTAGGAGTGTCCCCTAAAAAGATTTAGAATTTCCCTTTCCCACAAATCAGTCTTACAAAAAAGGTAGCCGAAGATGCCACAGGTTTTTTCATAATTATTAATCTGGCTTGGAGATCTTGTTTTTACTATTTTCATAGTTAACAAGAGCTTTCTATTTCTTAAACTAATTATCTTCCAATAATCATGACGGCTTCATTATTTCTATAAAAATTGATAAAAGCCCCGTTTACGCTACAGGCAAGATTTTCACGGGCCTAGGAAAAATGGTCCGGGGGCAAATTCCTTAGAAAATATGGCCCCCATATTACCAAAAATTCGAAGAACATTTGGCCACCTAATTATACAAGGTCTATAAAAAAATGTTCGGTAAACCGCAAATTCCGCAAAATTTGTGAAAACTTAATGCAAGCATGCGCAATTTGGGCTGTTCATTACTAAAATCATTTTTAAAAGTGAATTTTCGAGTGCAGAGGGTCGTTTTAAGAACCACTTTAAAAATGGCTTGCGCACAAAAATGATAGGGTGCAAATTTGGAAGGGGTTTTATGAACTATCAAAGTACAAGACAGTTTTATGTACACTAAGTCCAGCGTGCGACCCCTAAAATGTGGACTTTTTGCCGTTCTAGCCGTTCACGCACAATTTATTAAATGCATGATTGATTTCTTTACAAAAAATTTAAAAGTATGTGCAAAGGACACTGTGTACGATTCAAGGTCAGACAAACGAAGCGTTTAATAGTCAGTGCGACATGACGAGGGTGTGGTTGAAAAGAAAATTTAATATACTGTGAAAAATAGTATATTACTGATTTGGGGTCTTTGTAGACCAAGGAACCGCTCAGAGATCTTCTTTAATGGGGAGAGTGGCGAAACAGAGTAATAAAGAAACAGAGAGTCTGTAGACCGAGGCAGTGTCTAGAAGTTCAACCTGGAAGAAGTCCGCCGCTGAACGCGTCAAGATATCAACTCAGTGACGATTGAATCTCGATTAAAAGCGTGGAACTGAAAGAACAGTTAAAAGGTGGAGTCGAAAGAGCTAGCTAGCTGGACCTTGCCGTACATTTTTATCGTATGTAAAACCTTTACAAACAGTTTGAATTGATTACTGGCACCCACAAGACGAAGTTAAATTCGTCACAATTGGTGGCAGCGGTGGGATTCATTAGTTGGTATTTATCGGCATTTAGGAAGTAATTAGTACCGAGGAAAAAAATGAGTGAATACGACAATTGGGAAATAGAAATATTAAGAACTGAATGTGATAATCGCCAAATTGAATATTGTTCTACTGACATAAGAACGTTGTTAAAACTCTTTTCGCAAGATTAAGGACAAATGATAAAATGTGTAACAAGAAAATATTTCTTTAAAAAAAGAAATAATGTTTCGTTCCAATATAATTATAGAAATACTAGACGTCTGTAATTAGCGGTTGTCACCATAGATCACTTGTATATGTCGAGCAATGAAATCGGGCCATTTTGCGAGGCGGGCGGGCTATGGTAATTTTTTGCACGTTTTAGTAATTTTCATTATCCCATAAATGAGCTTCAAAAACCGTTTTCATTATTGGTCGACAGCGCTAGCCTTCCGCAATGATTTGATATACTCACCTGCTAGATTTGATACCCACCTGCGATAATCAATTTCATTGGCTAATGACTTTGTCGCCTTTTGTTAATGCTGCCATGTCGTTAAATGCTGCCATGTCGTAAATAAAATCCGCTAGGGAATGACAAAATTCGGCCAAAATATATCCGCGTGCCAGGCTTGCTGTGCAAAAAGCGAAAGTCGTCGAACAACTCAAAATACACTCAACCCTGATTGGACAACGAATATCAACAAACATTTCAAATTTTTTAACAAACACAACGTGAAATACAATTTACTATACATATTAACGTACTACAGTTATATTTACCTGCAGTAATATTTACACTTTATAACGTTTGTGAATTGTTTTGAATCAAATTATTACAGTACTGGAGAAAAATTTGAAATGTTTGTTGATATTCGTTGTCCAATCAGTGTTGAGTGTATTTTGAGTTGTTCAACGACTTCCGCTTTTTGCACAGCAAACCCGGCACGCGGATGTATTTTGGCCGAATTTTGTCATTTCCTCACGGATTTTAGAGCGAATTTAAGCTCTTTGATTAAAGCGTCGTTGTTTTGAGAGTTATACGGTATCGTTCTTGCAGGGGATATCGATTAATCGTGAAAAAAAAATGCATTAAAGGCGAAAAATCGAGGATAGTTTCGTGTTTCATATGCCAAGTCTGGGCTATTTTGGTCTCAATGTTTCCGTCCTTCCCTCGTTATAAGGAAGGCACGGGCGGGCGCGGGCAAATCGAGCCTGGGCCTCCTGTGATCACAGGGCCAAATGATGTCCTAAACTTAGTTTTGGAGTTAACAAACATTGCAATTCGTCATTCTTGTCTTTGATAGGTTGATTTAAAAATGATTGACAGCAGAAAGATTATATCAGAGTCACCTTTAGACTACTATTTTTAAATACCAATACGTGTCACGCACATAGATATCTACGCCATTTCCAAATTTAGGTAACGAAAGTAGCTTAGAAGTTGTAAACATGTTACGGAGTTCCTATTTATATATTACAAGAGCATACGGAAACGAGAGTGCAATTATATAATTATGCCTATAATTAATATATATACATATCTCTTCGTTTTTAATTTTTCGCATGAAGTATTTGGCCAAGCGCAGTATGTTATCTGGCCTCGTATTTATTCTTAGCTTGGTCAAACTGTTCCCGCGGTCCCAAAAAGACTAAATTCAAGAGTAAGGGCCAGGCTTAGATGAATTAAAGGACAAGCATGCAAGAGCCTTTTATTCTGGCTAAAATCTAGGACACCACGTCGTCACACAAAGCGGATAGAACTTCGCTTGACAAGTTGACATACTTACTTAAGATTCCCAATTATACGCCACGCTTCCAAAAAACTTCTTATGCTAGGAGCGGTCATCTCATTGGACGATTCTAAATGCAATTGACGTTTCAGCAAGAATACTGGCAAAGGATTGGATAACTTTGATATCTGACGTCACTTTCCTGTGATATTGCTCGAAACCAAATACAGTACCGTTTCGTTCCTGCGGGGAACGAAACAAAAATACTGCTGAACACACCGCTGTGATACAGAGAGAGAGTGAGACTACCGAAATGGGGACTCACAGAGAGGTTTTGGAGCAATTCAAATCACAATCTGAAAATTTAGCCGAGCCGTCTGATTTTCATGTTGGCTATGATTATGGCGAAATGGAGAAAATTCCCCAGGGTCCTACGACTTTAGAAGGTTCTAATTAAAAAGCCGAAAACCAAAGGGGTCCTTAACTTTTGAGGAAAGAATGACTCATTTGCGTTTTGAAAGGGATTTGGCATTACAACGAGAGGAATTAGAAATGAGGACGGAAGAGCGCAAAAGAAGGCCTAGAATGGAAGAGAGAGCGTTTGATTTGGAGATAGAACGAGAAAGAGAGAGAAAATTTATTCGGGGAAAAAAAGTCGAAGGAAATCTCTAGATGCGAGAGATGAGGGAAAATGAAGATATTG